AACTGTACAGCATTGTCTCTAAGAGACAAAATTTTCCCTAGAAATAAAAATGAAGTCCTCTTTATTCATAAAATCCTTCAAGCGTAAAGAGATCCTTTGTATTGGATCACCCAGAGTGTAAACCCACGCATTCTTAGAATTACCCAGTTACTTTAATTTCATTCCGCAAGAACAAAAAAGAGGAAATATCTTAATAAGTACATTCGTTCGACTTGAATCGAACATTAAATAAGCCTGTAACTCGGAAGGGAATAGAGACGTTATCTGACGTAGTATATCAGTAATTATTTTATGATTTAATTTGTAGGTGAATGACGTTAAGGAACGGGAGAACCGGCCCCGAGGAATATTTAGCTATTGCTTTTCATTACTGCAACCAAATCAACGACCTGACTGACCACTGAGATTATGGCAAAGAAACTTCCTTTCGTGGGATCTCAAAGACAAACCAAAAAGGATAAACCCTGATGAGTTTTACTTTAATTATGACAAAAAAAAACTAAAACAAAAACCTGAAAGATTCATGGTATTTTCCACCTGTCCCGATGTAGTGTTCATTCGCCAATGTCACGTTTTTCCGAAGAATTAGATTTGTCGCTGTTTACAACAGAGCGTTTAGCGCCGCATGATAGTTCGAGGTGGGTCCCAGGCTGCTTTGGATATAATTAGATCATGTTTGTCTCGTCAACTCACCAGGCAAAAGAACTTACTCCAAATCACTTTTTTACATTCAACATGAAATATGTTTTACGCGATAGCAGTCGCATCGAGTTTATTGTGTCTCTAAAACTTGTCCAAACACGAAAACAAGTTTTACTAAAAGATTTGCGTGATCAATCAAAGACATTGAAACTTTAAAACACTTCATTCGATTTCTTTGAGTGCACTCAACACAAAAGCAAACGTAATTATTGAGAAAGTTGAGACACGGGGGTCCTTAAGGAAACACGACCACCAACCTTCTAAACTTCTATCCATTCAGGGCTCTTTCTGGTATAAAAGAAGTCATCTCAGTGTTTCATTGCCTTTCAACGTAGGAAGAAGTAACTTTCTTTTTCTGCTCCGCGCCAAAACTGTATTGACGAAGCTACCAACCTATTTGGATCCCTCTGTCCTTTGTAGTCTAGCAATGAAATGCAAGAGGAATTCGAAGTTGTTAGTCGTTGTTGTGATTTTTCTGGTATACGGACAAATCTCGAGAGGAGAATACGATGGTAAGTTCTTCGTTTTATTTAACGCAAATTTGTTCAGCTCAGAGATTGAACAGGAAATGTAAGTAAGTTCGTGCAGTCTGAAGATTTGATTTGTGGCAAAAATAATAGTTATTCAAAAATTAAGTACCAATATATTGAGATTTCATTACTTTTCTCGAGAACGCCAAGTTATAGAATTGACCGTTTATATTTGTCTGCCGACAGAGTTTATTATCTGCTAGCCGGGTTGCTTGGTAAATAATATTGCACGGTCCATATCTAACGACTATACTAACGAGTATCAGTACAGTGGTTTAAAAAGAAAATGCAATGCCTCCTTAAAAGCCAGCCGCATTATCAATTACATTTAAAAATGTTCCTGTGTTTTCACGTGTTTCCTGTTACCAACTTTTAGCCGGCATTGACAATTTCAAATTTGCAAGCTGCAAGACGAACACAAAAACAACAAGCACCCATTTCCATTACAGCAGGGTTACCTTTCCGTGGTTAGGTTATTAAATAATGAATTATTTTAAACTCGGTTACAAGTAAGTAATACAATTCATATTCTGAAAACTTCTTTGTTACTACTCTTGTTGTTTTATAAGAGATTCAAAGTTTTGTGGAGATAAACAACAAAATATCACAGATTCTTTTGTATCGCAAAATTTATCAATGAAAACGAAAAAAAAAACTAAAAAAAAGGAAGTAAGCAATCAAGCCTCAACTTTAGTTAAAATAGAACCCTCAAGACAAATCAAACAGTTAAAGTAGTCAGTTCTAACCTCCCTTGAATGCATTTAATCATTTAACAGAAATTCACTTCGGGGGCGTGTTAATTGGCTGAGACAAGCTGCTGACGCCATGCATAACGTAGAAACGGCACGACTCTTCGTACTAGGCAAGCATAGTTTCCAGTTTACAAAACCACCTTAACAAAACAAGTACCTCATTGTTTTGACCACGAATACGATATTATTGTAATGCGGCTTTTGTGAGAAAATTCCTAATTGTAGCTTGAATCTTTTGCTCCCAAACGGCTTCGGCGAGAAAATTCCTAATTATATCTTGCATTTTTTGCTCCCAAACCGCGATAAACAAAACTAAAGAGCACTTAATTACCATGATTGCAGTTATTATTGGTGAAATTGAAAGCAAATGAAGAAAGCTTCGAGTAAATTTTTTTGGACTACATGAAATAGAATGTACGCACGAAATTCAAATCCTGTTTGAGCTTGAATCTTCTTTTTTTCAGTCTTCATCACAACAACTTAAAATGTGCATTTAACTGCGATGGTCTCTCCTCCGATGGGATTTTTTAAGCCATCATGTACGTATCCTCGAGGATACTTACATAATATACTTTGTCGAGTAATCGCTCTACGATGCAAGGACACGAAAATAATTTCTAACTAAGTTTAAGTAACGAACCAGACGTATTGAAGGGGCATCACGTTATTGACCAGACAGTCAGTTATTTGAAATAACGTGCAACAATTGAAAAGAAAATCAATTTTTAAGAAGGAAGCGTTCAAAAGGAGGTACCGTCGAATGACAACTCCGGCTCCGAAATAACAAACTCTTTAAATATTTCACTCGTGGCATGATTACGTAACCAACATACAGTCGAGCCACCTCTCCGGCGATCCTCAGCGACCAGTTTTCCAAAATACCAAAAGTTTCCAAGTCAAATCACTATATTTGGAACCTCTTTTAGGCGACCACTTCTAGAGCTGAAAGTTTGAAATTTTCTTTTGTTTTTAACCTCCCGTAAACGACCTCTTGAGAGATAACAGAGCGGAATTTGGATTATAAGGTTTTGTGACATTATCGTATCTCATGGTAGTACAAGAGACGGAAATTTCTCAATGAGAAGTACCGAAGATTTTCTTGAAATTGACTTTTCATATGAATAAAACATTTAAAACATGGGGTAAGTATCTGCAGTTACCTTATGCTAATGAGGCAAAATTTTGACCCAATATGGTCAATATGGTCTGAGCTCTCGTAAGCGACCATCTCCCGTAAGCGACCAACTGTGCTGACGGAAAATATAGCAGATTACGTAATCTTCAAGAAATATTAAAATTAACGTTATTCGACGTTTCAACGCATCGAGCATCATTATCTAGAGTGAAAGAGCCGAGGTTTGAATATCATTAGATGGCTTTCACGTGTGCGTGATAATGCAAACACGCTAATAGAAAAGCTTCGCGCGAGTTGAGTCCGATTGCACGTTTAGTGATGATCTGAGCTCTTGTACAAACAAGAAATACAGTTACAGTGAAAAAATATTTTTACAGAGAGCAAATGTCTTGATTAAAAAAAATAGCATTTACGAGTAGACGACAAAAAAAGTGCAAACATCTCAATAACACCGTACTCGCACTGCACTCACCCAGTCCTTCGTGCCCGGCCGCGCTATGGAAACATGATTCCTTAGCAGCCTAGATCTGAAGCGAAAAACAAACAAAAAATAAAGGCAAACACTCTAGACAGGTACTTCATTGTAATCACTACTTTGTACGATTGCTATTTACTGATGGCTGATAAATGGAAATTTCAAAATAAGGTTGGGCATTTCCAGTCTTCTTATACAACTTTAAGGTGAATAAAAAAAAACTTTTAGGTGAACTATATTTTTTTACCAGTAGAAATTTGCCTCACTGGACTGGGATTTCCAACACCGGAGTGATCTAAAAATAGCTCAATTGAGAAGGATTACCTTGGGAATAAGGCCTGTAAGGGGGATCAACTCTCCTACTATTCATCCTATCTTACTGAGGTACGGTTAATAGAATTCCCTTTAACAATATTTTTTCAGATTGGTGCCTTGACTACGAGTCCAGGAAATGTGAAAAGTGGAAGGCTGGTGGACAGTGTCGATCACCGTTTCGCCGTGTGCAAGTAATGATACGGAGATTGTGCATGGAAACCTGCAACTTCTGCGGTAAGCTTTTACCCTCATTATCAAATTCAAGTTTGGATAGATGATCTAAATTAGTATATTATCACTCCTTTTTCTCCTTCGTTTCAATTTTGATTGAGAAGATAAACCAAACACTAGAGGCAGTGTTTCACCACAATTTCCAACACCTCGAAGCTCGAAAAAATACTCCACTGCGCGTCGGTTTTTCAACGCTCTTTCCCACGTTTGGAAATGTGTTAAAACACAGTCTTTAGTGTGTGATATATCACCTTTCGAGTTCAAGGAGCTATGTCACGATATTTTACGTGCTTTTTCTGACGTATTTAAAAACAAAAAATGAACAAGTATGGTTACGACAAAGGAACATTAGTGAGCTTAAGCAAACCACTGTCGTCATTATACTAGGTAATTTTTTTTTATAGATTTAATTTCTTGTAAAGCGGCATTGAACCATTGGGAAATGGCGCTCTATAAATTTTAATATTATTATTGTAATTATTATAATTATTTATTGTTATTGTTATTGCTATAAGTATTATTATTATTATTATTATCATTATCATTATTATTATTATTATTATTAGGCCCCATTTAGGACGCTTATGGGCAGCAAGCTTAAAAACGTTGGTGTAGTCTCAATTCAGTTCAATAATGTGTTGTTTATACTATTTAGAATAAAAATAACATGAAGAAATCTGAAAAGCTAACAAGACAATTGGCTACTCACTTGTCTGGAGGTGATTTCAATCCGGTATATTTTTTAATGAATGGTTTTCTAAAAGTAATAAAAGACAATGACATAGTTAAATTCGTTCACTACAGAGGCAAAGATTAATTACTGCAGGTAGTGGGATTCGGTAAATGAAACCCTAGTATGATCATTCAAATGAAAGCTCTTGAACAGTTCTTTCATGTGGCACCATTCACTGTGATGCTCCTAATGTCTTAAAATTCAAGTAAAAATTATTGAGCAGTTCAACCTTAGGGTTTCACCAAGCCGAGAATGTATCATATTCTCTTGGTTCCACTGATAGACGTCCAAACTAGAAGCAACAAACATAATCTTAAGTAAAACTTACGTTTGAATTTAACGGTCAGACACAGGGGTCAGGGGTTCAACCACAGACGTAAAAGTTACAATTTTTTACTGCACAGCAAACAGAACCACATAAAAGAGCTGTATTGAAGTACTTTTCAGTCATTCTGCTTATTTTAAATACTTTGTACAACTAATTTTAAGATCATACCAAAATAACGTTCCAATAATAAGCGAGTGTGACTGATTTTTTCCCCGCAAATCTGTAGAGCCTCCATCGCCTGAGGTATGCTATGATGAAAATCACGAGGTGTCCAAATATGGTTGTTGCTGGGACGGGATTAACGCTGCCACCGGCCCAAATGGACAGGGATGCCCCGGTAACTAGTTTACACAAGCACTGACTATATGTATTGTATGTTCTAAACTTATTTACAACGGCAAGAAAATGCTAAAGAGGGAATAATGAGTCTATGAAAATGGAAAAACACAAGGATTAAGACTAGGAAGATTGAGGTGGTTTACAGAAGACGAAACATTTCGAAACACCGTTGTTCAGTAGCTGTGCATGTTGAAAAGCGAACTTCGTGCAAGATCTGTGTTTAACCGAGGTTACGCGTACCTATAAAGAAACACCTGCTTGCCAATAATGAAACATAACGAAACATTTCTA